GGTTTTTTTGTTGTTTTTTAATATATTTCTATTGATTTCAGAGAGGAAGGGAGAGGGAGAGAGAGACAGAAACATCAATGATGAGAGAGAATCGTGGATCGGCTGCCTCCTGCACGCCCCACAGTGGGGATCAAGCCCACACCCCGGGCCTGTGCCCCGACCGGGAATCGAACTCTGACCTTCTGGTTCCTGGGTTAACTAACACTCAGCCACTGAGCCCCACTGGCTGGGCGGCTGCGGCATTTCTGAACAGCACTGGCCAGTTACGGTGTAAACTCGCGGGAGTTTGTCATGCGTGGTGTAGACTGTCCCTCCGTTTGGTTTGTCCTGATGTCTCCTTGGGGTTTAGGCGACGCGTTTTGGGCAGGAATCTCGCAGAAGCAATGCCCTCTGGGACGTCCCGTCGGGAGACGGGGGAGGGCCCCTGCCCGTTATTGGTGATGTTCTCTTGGGTCCTCACTGGAGGTGGTGTCGCCAGGTTCTCCACCGAAAAGCCACGGTGTGTCTCTTTGTCCCTCATCAGTACCTTGTGGGGAAGAGCTTGACGCTGTAAACATCCTCTTCCTCCCCTCCTCCTCCCGCCCGACCTGAGCATCCACGGCCAAATCCCGGAGATCGTGTCACTTCGTCTGTAAATATTTCCGTGGCTCCAAAAGGCAGGGATTCTTTTTATAGAAACACAGATAATGCCACCGCCACACCCAGTGATGCCGACGATCCTTCCTAAATGCCACCCCATACCCGCCACTGTTCCCGTTTCCCCGGTGGTCTGAGGGGTGCGTGTGTGGCTTACAGGTTGTTTGAATCCGGAGTCAGAGGAGGGCCTTGCGTTGTGATTGGTCAGTGTGATTCCTTTTGTTTGTTGTTTTTTTGTTTTCCTAATCCTCACCCAAGGATATTACGTTGATTTTTAAAGAGTGGACGAGACGGGGAGAGACAGAGAGAGAGAGACATCCATGGGCTACCTCCCGCACGCACCCTGACCGGGGCTGGCGATCGGGCCTGCAAGGGAGATACATGCCCTTGACCGGAATTGAACCCGGGACCCTTCGGTCCACAGGCCCCAGGCACGGCACTCTGTCCACTGAGCCACACCGGCTCGGGCTGGTCAGCGGGATCCTCAGTGCTTTTTGAATCCGTCACTTCCTGTGTTTTCCTCCTGAGGTTGTGGAGAGAAGGTGGCGTGTCCACGGCCTCGGGGAGTCCTCCCGCGTGCCCTCCGCCCTGTCTTCTGGGTGGCGGTGGGGTCTTGACGCCTGGTCAGGGGCCGGTTCAGTTTTGCGACGACTGCTCTCTCGGGGGCGGGGGCTTCTGGAAGCTCGTCAGCACTGAGCGGCGACCCGCAGGCACCAGGAGGGCAGAGGCCCTGGGTGGCACACACACAGGAGGGACGAGGGAACCTGCTTTTAGAGCCCAAACCAGAAAGGCCACTGCTGGGCGTGGCGCCCGCTGCCCGCAGCTCCTGGACCCACCC